TGTTATTATTATTTCGTTTCGAGATCCAAATCAGTTGTTCATGTCCCTAAGAGAGTGTCAGATTTCGAAGAAATGGGTGACTTAACCAGGTTACCTCGACGATGAGGAGGTACGAAATCCTATAACAAAATCTTTTACATGGGACAAACCCGCCACAACCTCCCAAAACCGCTGCAACTCCTGTGCACCAGATTCTACTTTAGATACAACCATGAAAACACCGGATCACTGAAGTTCTACGTCTCAGGGATATGAGCAACTATCTCGGATCCCACAATGAAATAAATCCGAAGATTTCATTAAAGAAGAAGGGCCCAATAACACACAGACACAATAAATCTATTCCAACAGAACCAAAGAGGTCGTCTCTCAGAAACATGTGCGATATTTCCTAAATACTTACCCGATCAGCATCTTTATTGAACTTAATGCCGGTGCCATCCTGAAATATTACGAAATTTAAAGTAACAAATTTTAAAAAAATAGCTTTATATTTTTACCGACTTCAAAAAAGGAGGAGGTACGTACTTATAGCTAACACACTGATAGGTTAGAAGTCGGTGCCACAAACCCATAACAAAATATGAAGTAATTAATGGTCACAATGAAGTAAAAAGAGTAACGAATGGAGTTTCTTGCTCGTTCTTCTCCATTCGAATCTACTTTTTGGAATGAGCACCTAGCTTCACCTAGTTTCACTGACGGACTGACTGACAGACTATTATTTGTTTTGTATTTGTTGACGTTTCAAAAGTACCAAACTATGGTTTAATTGAAATAAATGCTTTGACTTTGATTTTGACTTTGACTTCACAGCTGGTATAATCCATAATAAAATTGTAAACAGCTTAATAATGTTAGGTATCTATTAAGGTTTTAATGAATAATTTTGTTTAAAACTTGTGGCACCGACTTCTCACCTATCAGTGGGTGTGTAAGCTATAAGTACGTATGACCAATAATAGTTACTTTACCTTTTTAGTTTTTACTTTTCGTTTGTTTTTTAGTTTTTGCAGTCGATTTTTAACTGCAGTTTTTTAACTAAAAGCAACTTAACATTTATGGTATTCGAACTAAATGTGTATACAAAATTTCAACTCAATCGGTTGAAGATATCTTTTTTTTTTTTAAGGGGGGAAAATCATCGAATGACTGCCCCCGCCTGGGTGAGGCGGGAGGGAGTGTCAGACTCTTACTGACTAAAAACCACCCCGTTCCTTCTCCTGCAC